GAAAGTATAACTCAACAACTCTGGACAAGAGTTGAGTCCAAAGCTCCACAAAAAAGAACACATCCCTTCAACTAATAAGAACTCCCTTTTAGACTAACTCTTTCACTCTTTGTTTTCTCTTGTGTTTTGTGTGTACCAAACCAAATGAAGACCACCACTATTTATACTACAAGAAGTCTTCTTAGCAATGAATAGGAAGATAATGGAGGTAGTAAATAATGAAGATAATGGCCTTAGGAGTTTATAGGTTACATATGTTACAATAGGAGTTACATAGGTTACAAAGAGTAATGGAGAAATTAAGAATGAAATAAAGTGATGGACAACCAATGCTAATGGATGATGTAGAAGTTATCCATTCCAATGTTTATTGGAATGTTTTTATCTCACAATGAATTCAACTAATAAAGCCAAAAGCAATGGCACTACATGACTACCAAGTCAAAGATGAATGCCTACCAATGGTCATTCTTATAACTCCAAAATAAAGCAATTTAATATGTTAAATATTAATATTAAAATGCTAATAACCTAACACTATATCTTACAAAATTGAAACAATTATTATAAACATTTTATAGTTTTATTAAGTATTGTTCATATTTCTTCTTTTTTAGTAAGTGCTAATTTATAAAAGAAATTATTTTTAAAATAATTGTTAGTTCACGCGAACATAAGTAGTATATAATAAATCAACATATTTCTAATAATTGATTTAACATCAATTGGTCTATTATTACATTTAATTTAAAATGTGAAAGAGGTATAGTTTCTCAAATTCAAAACGTTGAGGGTGTAAATTACAGTGGGTTTTTTCTAAAAGCAAATTTAATTGAGTAATTTTACAAGGAAAAAAAATTACTGACTTTTATGTATAATTTCTCGTTTATAAGATAAGAATTAAAAGTAATCTCCCACTGTTGCTATCACATGAAACGTGAAAGAAAGTAGTTATATTTACTGTTTTTTTTCCTTTTGGCAGAAGAATGGCTAATTAATTAAATATTCTTGTCATTATTTATTGAGTGGAGAATATATATGGTCATTAATTCATTCTAAGGTGGAGTTAAGGTTAGGAGTTTGGAAGTTTTAAATTAATTTTATTTGGAAGTTCACGTGTTAATATATATGTATATATATTTGTTTATTTTTCAATATAAATATAAGATCTATGAAAAAATTAATGATTTATCCGAACTGATAAATCACCACCTATCTCCGTCTCCGTCCACTTGATTTTTTGTCTGAAAAGGCTTGTAGGTATGTTAATTTTTAGGGAAAAAATTTCCCTTTAAGGGTGAAAGAAAAGAAATTAAAGGGTAAAAAGTATGAAATTTAATATTTTTATGAAATTATTTCTTAATGTTTTAAAAATTTTATTTATATTACACACTTTTAACTCATTAATTGAAGGCCATTAATTTCTACATTTTAAAAATATATACAATAAATCAATTCATTTTCTAACAATTGATTTAACATCTCAAAATGTGTAAGAGGTATAATAATTACTCAAATTCAAAATGTAAAGGTGTAAAGCATTTTTTTTAAAAATAAAAAATCTCTTTTTAATATAAAATAAAATTTAACGACTTTACTGAGTAATAATTTTTCGTATTTACTGTCATTTATAAAACACATGAAACAAACGTAAAATATAGCAGTTATTCAGTGTTGGAAAAATGCCTAATTAATTTATTCGATTCTTAAGAAAAATCAACTTCCTGTAAGTTTTCCTTTTTCCCTTTTCAGTTTTAATGGATTAGTATAGTAAGATTATAATTCCTTTGTTGAATTCATTAATAATTAGTGGGAGCAGCTTCATGACGCAGACTTGTTCCTCGACGAAAAATCTAAAATTTGAATTTGAGTTTGACTTCATTAAAGGGTCAACTTAAGTGAGGGTCTTTTGGGTATTTTAGAGGAGGGTTATGTATTGATTTTAAATAAGATTTCACCACAATTTTCCACCAACACCAAAACCCAAATCAAACCCAAAAGCTCTCACCTCTCTCTACTTTCCTCTCCATTCATCCTCCATTGAAGAAGTTTTGTAGGTTGAAGAAGAATATCAAATCCTCCAAGATTCTACTCAATTTCGTGGTACTTCATCTTTAAGGTATAATTTCTTTCACTTTTGGAATTCTTTTTCCAAAGAGGTCCCTCCAAAAAGATGATTTCTAAATCCCTCAAAACTAGGATTTTTCTCCTCACATGGGTATTCTTTGAAAAACCAAAATTTTGAATCAATTGTGTTGGTTATATTGCCAAAACGAGAAAACTATTTAAGCTTTCTTAAGAAAAATCAACTTCCTGTAAGTTTTCCTTTTTCCCTTTTCAGTTTTAATGGATTAGTATAGTAAGATTATATATCCTTTGTTGAATTTATTAATAATTAGTGAATGATAATTTATTTAATTGCAGGAAAATGATGAGTTTGTTATAATTAGTGGAGAATGGGGAATGTGATGGGTACATTATTATCAGGTTTTGGTGATATCGTTGGCAAATTGTTTGGTCATCCACTTGATTTTTTGTCTGGAAAAACTTGTAGGTATGTAAATATTTTGGGCAGTAATTAATCATATTCATTCTTTTTTTTAAAAAAATCATATTTTAACATAGTTAATTAATTGATTAACATGATTTCAGTACAGCATGTGCCCCAACATGGGATTTTCTTTGTTATATAGAAAATTTTTGTATCCCTCAACTCTTGAAATCAGCAATGGTGTCAATCCTCTTATACTTTGGTTAGTTTCTTAATTTCACGCTATTATATTATTCTGTTGTTGTTTATTTTCTTTTTAGGTTAGGTTTGCACCGGTTCTCTTATTAATTGTTATGTTTTCTTTATTTTTTTTAAAACCTAAAATTGTTGCAATTGAATCGAGAATCTTTGTCAAGGTAATAGCAAAGCCTCCTGCGTATACTCTATCCTCTTCGGACTCTATTCGTGAAATTTTCATTGTGTTTGTTGTTGGAAAATAGACTGATTGAATATGACTTCTTATGTAGAAGGTTTTTAATGTTAAAGTAAAAATGATATCAAGGAATATTTAAACTTCAATTTCAATTTGTCTTAGTTACTTTTTGATTCATTTTATTTGTCTTAGTTACTATTTGCATAGCAAAAGAATATTTACATTTTATTTTAAAAAGTTGAAGATTCTATGTTCGTATTTACACCAAACAATTGTTAGTTTGATTCTCCTACTCCGAATCAAGTCAAACAAATCGAAATAGAAGTAGTAACTAACTTGATTTATCCTTTGTTTATTTGCAGTTTTCTTGTTCCTCTACTTGCTTTACAAGTTGGGAATTTGTCAGTGTATTTGTCACATACTTTGTAGAACTACATGGGCATGTTTCTCCACTTGCTTTTCAGCCTTAGATTGTTGTTGCACTTGCATTTGTTTCAACATTCAGAAACTTCTTCTTACACCTAGGCATAATAGAAGAAGAAGAAGACATCAAAAAGATATTGAAGAAGCACTTGTTGATATTTCTAGTAACTCTAGTGAATCACAAGGCTCTATTAAATTTGATGACACAAAAAGAGGAAAATCATTGAGGGAACATAGAAAAGATCATATGAGAAAGTCTTTGAGGCCAAAGAGTCATCATATGCAAGTCCAAATTGTTAATGATTCAATCCATCACCACAAGAAGAAGAAGTTCAAAAATGGTCCTATCGATGATCATATTCGAGTGAGTAGAAGAACAAAATTTGCGCAAAAGGGTATGTTCGTTAAGGGTTCAACACGTTCACGAAGGAGAGTATAAAAGACGGGGGTTCTTAGACTCTTCAAAAATCTCACAGGGTGTTTGTTTTATCTCACAATATATATAGTTTTGGAGAGTGAACAATATAGGTTTTCAATTCTATGGTCTTCTAAATCTTGTAAATTCTGAAGTTTTCGCCTAATATATTGTATAACTTGTATACTCTGATAGTGTAAAGAATTGC